AATATGATTTTAAAAATGTACAAATTTTCTGACAATAATTATAATCAATGCCTTGAATATTATTTGATTTCTTTTTCTTGGAACCAAGACATTTTATTTCCCTATTTTCTTCGTTGTCAATTAATTCACAATTAAGGGAAAAATTACCATAATATTACAATGTGCGTATATAAATACGCACCCTGTCAAAAAAAAAGGGGAGGGAAAAAAAGAGAGAGGATATAGGAAATTAAGTTCTCACGCTAGAAGGACTCTATCAACAAAAACTACCAAGAAAGAATTGGGAGAGTACTTAAAGCCAAAAATATATGTCATATCTACAGCATTCTCCTTCTCTTTTTATTGTACTTTGAAGATTTTTTTTAAAAGATTTTATTTTTTTTTACTACACACCAATAATGTTTTTATTTTCTAAAAAAAGAATATCTTTTCGCGTTTCTTTTGGTAATTGTTATATCTCTTGCATCACGTGATATTTATTTTTTAAAATTTTACATTAAAAAATAAATAATAAATAAACAATTTTGAAAAAAATAAATTAAAAGAAAATATTTCTTATCATGTATTTTTCTATAAAAAATATATATACTAAATCATAAAATAAAGGGTATGGTACTCGTCAGCTTATGGTCGGTCTCTTTCCTTTTCTTTTTTGGATTAAATATATTTTTAGTCCCTTAACTATCACGCGATTTTGGGTTTAGTCCTTATTCGAAAGTTTTGTGCATTTTAGTCCTCTTAGTTTTGAAAATGTTATAAATAGTCCCTAATTTTGGATGGCGTTAACTTTTGTTTGACATGGCTAACGGCCAGCCCACGTCTGATGCCAGGTTTGAGTTTATTCTCTACCATCTTTGACCTTTTAACTGGCCGTGAATTCGTTCGCCGCCATGTGGGCCACCAACCCGAGGCTCTCATCCACCTGTTCTGTGTAGTTCCCCAACAGCCCCTCATCCACGACTACCTTCTCTTCCAGTACTCGGATCAAAAACTCGTGCAACACCTTGCCGATTCAGAGATATCACTCAGGAACGCAAAAGAGAAGGGTGTCCTCGACGGGGAAGAAGGATGGAGGAAGAAACTGCAGGGTCTTGTTCCGGCGGAGGGGGTTGAGGTGAAGCACATTCGAACGGGTGAACGGGTGCATGTTTCTCGGAGGATAGTGGTTGTTTTCGTGATGATGACCATGGCCGATTTCTATGACCAGTTATTTGATTTTTAGGATGTGCTGTTTGATAACCGGAACGGTCGGCTTGAGCTTTTTAGGAACAATTTGGGGGCTTTGTGGCCGGGAGATGGGAAGCCGGGTCTGTGGATGAATTCAATTTCAAGGATG